AAATTTTAGAAATATACTTTTCTCTGTTCATCGCTCGCTAGCTCGTTCTCTCTGTTAAAGGTAAAGGTAAAGTCGGGAGATGTGAACCAGCGTCATTGCACACGGTTATAAACCTTAAGTGCTCTGCCACCAGTACTGACTGCTGATGAGAAACTGTCCGCGTGTGTCGCTGTCCGCAGGCAGCTCCATTGCCACAGCGACGTTCCTCCATTTACCCCAGAGTGTTAACTCTGGTACCCATTACCTAGTGTCTGGGTGAACCCCGGGAACAGCCCGGTTTCGAACGCCGGCAGTGAGTCGCATCTAGATTTGAAAGCAAGTCTCCTATCGACTGCACTAACGCGGCTTTTCCTTCTCTCTGTGTGTCCTTTTAGCACTTCTTATGTAACAGTTATGTTTATTAATCGTAATTAGAACATTTATTTACATTTTACATTTAGATAATCTAATCTAAGTTACCATTCACTCTTCAATTCTCTGTTTGATCAATAAAATATTTTCAAAATGTATTACAAACTAAAACAAATTTTCGCTGCTCCGTCACGATACCCAGGTATTTACTGTGTACAGAGATAGCAAGGTGGTGGCTATTATCACGGCAACTGTAGACACTTGGTTTAGCTTTGAGCAAGATGACTTGTCTTCACCCTCACTTGCCAGTATTCTTGTGTCTGAAACATTGAATAATATTTCAGCACTTCATAGCATTTACATTTACATAGTGGTGTGATTTTTGGGATGGTCGGCAGAGCAGTGGCCAACGTGTTTGCTTGCTAAGCCGCAGGTTCGAATCCCAATGGAGAGTTAGTTTTAAAAAGGTCTGAACCTCCAGGTATAGCCAGTGCAGAAATGAGTGGTAGGAAAGGTTCTGGAAAGTAAAAGAAGTCGGCTTCATATTAAATACATAATCCATCAAGTGCCGATTTGTCTGTACAAATGGAGTAAAATCGTATAAATAATAATCATCAATCCTGGAAATGGGTCCTTTCATTGTCAGTACAATCTTCTTCTTCATATCCTCCTCTAATTTCGGGTGTACGGGTAGATACAAGGTTATGTTTCTTGCTCTTCTGACCGCCTTGATCACAGAAATATCCTGCTGGTGTTGTAGAGTTGATCTGGTGTTATCTTTTATCTTGTTCTTGGTCTTCCTTGTGTTCTGCGCTTTTCTCCTCTTCTGATGTATGTCTTGTTTGGTATGACGTCACAAGACATTCTCTCTCAATGGAAAACCCATTTGATTTGCTGTCTTTGTATGTAATTTAGAATTGGTTTTGTGAAGAATTTTTGCTCTCATTCCTGATTGTATCTCTTCTGGTCGCTCTTGCATCGCTTCTCAAACATCTCATTTCCACTGCACTAACTTGTTGTTCTGATTTATTGTGAGTAATCATTCTGGCACTGGTAGCATAGTGTGGAAATGAATCAACATAACCTTTACTTTATAACTATTATTAATTCTCTCACTTTTACCTATTACATTTTATTGTGATCTTCCTGGTTTGTATAAATGTTGTTGTGACGTTCTTTGCATGTCTAGCAAGGATGCAAACGAGACAACTTTGCCCTTTGCTTCTGTTTATTGATAATGCAACAGCAGTCACACAGCTATTACTGGATACTTCATACTGTTTTTTTTTTTTTCTCTCCTGATCCTTTGTCATATGACAAATGTTATTACGATTTCTAGATTTGTTTACTGTTCCCAGTTTAGCGCAGAGTGTTCCATAAGGTTCGTTCCATACATAAGAAAAAATGAAATATAATTTTTTTTTTAATGAAAACTATTTGTATTAAATAAAAATGCTCTACACGACTACCATAGTTGTGATGCGTGTCCCCCACCGCTGGGGAAAACCTATAAGCACAACTGCTTTTATTTTGTGATGGTTTTGGGGATATATTTATTTGTTCTATGCATGGAAACTTATAGGTGGTCCTGTATCACGCTGTTGGGTTGCGTGGTAAAGTGGGAGTTATGGAATCGGATTGTGGTGGACTCGTGCATGTACATATATCATCATCGACATCATCATCATCGTCATCATCATCATCATCATCATCATATGACTTATCAGGTGGCGTAGAAGCCCATCCCTTCCTGCATTTTTCTGTCCTTGGCGTTCTGAATCAATTTTAGGCATATACAGATAGATCCGCAAAAACAATGCAGTAGGGAATGAAGTGTGGAAAATAGAGTGAATCCTACAACTGCAGCTAACAAAATACTCAGTGGAAATTAGTAGTAGTAGTACATTTTACCCCACCAGGACATCACACAAGCGATGAACACTCAATGACACAAAGTGTCACCAAACCGCTTTTTGCCATAAGACTATTTTTATGACCGTGCGTTATTGCGGCCCCTGGCAAGAGCCAGGATGGGCCTTCAAAATAACGAAAAATTACATCCCACAAGGAGATGTCTGGTTATAAACAGTGTCAGTGGCAACTGCAAAGTATTCAGTGAACTACACAGTAGATGTCACATCATGTAGCTGGTTGCTGTCAGGTCTTGGTCAGATATGACTATCGTAAAACAGTGCACTGTCGTCGCTACTATCTGTTTGTAGTTAACACAAAATGTGTGGCAAACAAACATACTATTCTATATATTCTGGGATATTACCGGCTTCTGGGGAAGGAGCGCAATGGGGAGGATAGTAGCTTTATCCTATGAAGAGTAAATGCAACCGTAAACCCTAATGTTATGACAGGGCAGACTAGGCCATTAGCCTTGGCTGGTAGTTGGTCTTGGAGGGAAGCTCCGACAGGCGGACAGAGTGCTGCTCTTCTGTAGGGTGTTGGTTCTTAATTATTGGAATAAACAAACCGATCAAGAGAGGTATCATGATGTCAGGCAAATATATGGTCTCTGCAGTACTGCTCAGGCATAGTGCTATGGCTCCCCATTCATGGCCTGTGATTCCCACGCCTTTTTCTAGCACATTATGACACTAGTCTGGAAACACTGAAAGATATTAACACACACAGAGCAGGTCGGTTAACGATTAGCAATAATCTTATCATGATATGCCGGAAAGCCAAACGCTGCAATGTCTAATTTTCATCGTAAATTTGTATGCCCACTGTACCCACTGTCCTCTGGTCGACCTCTGCCTTTTCTTTTAGAAACCATACCCTCCATTATTGTTCTTTTCAAAACAAGCTTCTTCTTCTGTAATCCATGCCGTGTTACATTTGAGGTCACAACCTTCATTCTCGCATACTTTCAATCATCACTGCCACAGATGATCTTCCGTGCCAGGATGTCAAACTGTACAGCATCTTCTCTCTGGTTCTCCATCGCATCAATGTATTCTAGTTTTCATATTCTCATTATGGCCTTTAATACGACCCAAATATTTCAGTTTCTAAGATAGCATACTGAACACGAGTCACTGTTCCCTCTCCAGCCACTTCGCTATTTTATGTTCAGATTCTGAAGCATCTGAAGATAATATTTTAGTTCAGAGATCCACACAAGAGAAAGAGGAGTTGACAAATGCATGATAGCCCTGCTGGCAGAGAATAAGGAAGAGAAATCTATAAGAATCTTCAGCGATTATAGTGCGTTCGATCGTTCTGTCGTCTGTTCGATGTACAGGCAATTGCAAGAAAGTGCATACAGGATTTCTGTTGGTGGCACTCATGTTGTCGACTAGAACATTTGTAAAGGATCTTCTTTGTTTGCACTAATGATGTAGTTTAGCACTTACATGCAGGATCTTATTTCTTGGCAATAATTTTTGCCTACTAGACCATCTCCTTTTTAAAGTCCAGACTGTGTGTCGTTGGTAGTCGTGGCTATCAACCACCATATGTGTTGTGTACTTTCGACTAATTCTGAAACAGATTATCCTCCATGCCATGATGTCAGACTATCCAGCATCTGTTATCTCTGTCTCCCTCTGCCTCTCCTCTCTTCCGACTTTCTCACTGTCACGATATACTCCAGTTTTTACCTTCTCATCACAAGACCAAAGAATAGAGATTTTCTTTTTCTGATGCGGGCAATCAGTTCTCTTCGTGAGTCAGTTTCTTTCAAGACATACTCATTACTCCATTTACCTGTCCAGGGTATTGTCATCACTTGTCTATTAAACAATTTCTCTGCAGCTTCCAAAAAGTTTTTCACTAATCTACCAAATGTCCATGATTTACTTCCATATATAAAGATAGGATTTATATAGTTTTTTTAAGAATTCTCTTTCTCGTCTCAATTTACATAGAAATATTACATAAAATTTTCTTTATTTTTGTAAAATTTGCGTATGCTTGAGGTATTTTACATTAACTTTTTGAATACATCTTCCATCTTATGTTATCCGATACCCAATACTTAAATAAATCAACTTGCTTGGGGTTTGTTCAATTTACTTTGATGCGTTTTGTAGGGTCAGTTTTCTTTGTAATTACTATTACTTCTGTTTTTATACCAATAAAGGTGGAAACAGGTATGATCCGTGCAGAGTGGGAAGCATCGCTTCAAGGTATAACGTAGCTAGCATCCTTTTGATATTTTCTTTGGAGTATCTAGGTGGGAAACTAACAGACAGACAGATTGGCAGTTCTGCACCATTCGGTGGTAAACTGATGCATTACAAGCTTGACGTTTACAAGACCGTCGGGAGAGAGTAAACAATGCTGAGGAACAATTTTAACATCACGGTCAGAAGAGAATATAGTGCTTAGGCAGTCAGGTCATAAAGTCAACAATTTACACTCAGGGGAAATTCAAGTCGGACATATAATCAGACTGCTAGTAACGCCTTCGCAACTGGAACTCTTCGGTGGCTGCTGAAGTTGGAGACGGAACGCTTAATGGAATGCTATGAGTGCTCTAATGTCGGTTCTTGAATTCTCAACTTAGTCTTATAACACTGGATTTGATTTTTTTAAAAATGCTATATTTGTTTTGCTTCAGTTTTAGCCCTGAACAGATTAGCGAATTGCTTCTTTAACTGTTCCAGTATGCAGAGGGCTGTTCTAGAACATACCGGAAGGATCTCCAGGTCTGTACCGTGAAGTATACCGAGGCCGCTGGCTGTCCTCACCTTGCCAGGCGTGTCCCCTATGACGATCACTGGTAGCTGAGGGTCTCATGCCCACCGCAGGTGCCTCGGACTCCCAGTGTTGGGATGTAGCTTGCATGTACAACTGCACGGTCGTGGCTGAAGTGGTCGTTGTTGTTCGTGTGTGCTCGGCGTAATCTGTGGGATAACAATATCGTGTAATGGTTAAATTACACTTATGAGTTAGCACTTATAATATGACAGAAACACAAGCTGTGCAACTAGTAACAGACAGTTAGCTACATCTAGCTCCTTTCTGCTGCGCGTTACGGCATAATCGGTAGGACACGCAAGAAAAAAGACTCGTTCGTTACCACGACGACAAAACCACCTTATTGCAGTTTCGGCGACTTTCACATAGTTGCATTATCAGGGCTATTGTTTTGTCACTTTATAATATCGCACAGGCATATATGGAAACTTCCACTCTAAATAAGTTAGAATGAATTTTTATTCTTTACGGAAGTACACAATTTTTATGCAGATCTTAATTCACAAACCTCATAGACGACTTTGGCATTGTGTGAACAGGTAACTTAGCTTCAAGCTGCCATGTTTTTACATTAGCTACCCACAACTTTCATCACGAGAAACGCAGTTATAAAAAACCTTTTGACTGTGGGAGGGTGAAACACCCTATATATGTGACTGGATATTTTTCGAAGCTCTTATTATCTTTGTGAAAGTTAGCACTAGTGTAATGTATTCGTTTTTCCTGTTTTTCTTTCCCTTCCTACCTGTCTTCAATTCTTGTGTGATTCCAGTACTAACCTATGGATGCGAGAGCTGGAAATCAACGAAAACTCTAGACACAAAATTAGACAGTTTTGAAAATAAATGCCTTAGAAGAATACTAAATTTCAAATGGTCAGATTTCCGAACCAATACACAAATAAGGCAAGAATCCAGGCAAGAGTATGTGTCTAATTTTATACGAAAACGCAGCTGGAACTATGTCGGCCACGCCCTTAGAATGGATAAATCAAGACTTCCTTACCAAGCCCTCATTTGGACACCACAGGGGAAAAGATCTCGTGGAAGACCAAGGGAAACCCTACGTAGAACTATCATCAGGGAAGGCTCACTCATGGGCCACTCAAACATCCAAGACCTTCAACAGATTGCAACGAACCGCCATGCATGGAGAGTCATGACCTCTGTCCTATGTGCCGCACTCGACACAAGAGGAAAGACTAACTAACCTGTTGCCACCAAATGGAGCAAATGTCCCGGCCTGTTTGTTAACTAGAAGGGAAAGGTAACCGTGGGCCCTGACATTAAGGACACACACGCACACTGGATGTGAACATTATGCTCAAGAAACGACGACTCAACCATCCTTCTGGCGGGGTTGATGAGAGCGAAGGACTTTCCATTTGCGGTGATGATGACGACGACGACGACGATGACTAGGATGATAATGATGATGATTATGACGACAAATGTGACAATAATAATAACAATGGTGATGAAGACGATGATGCTGATGATAACAATAATTACGTCAACGATGATTATGACGATGATAATAATGATGATGACGACAATTGTGAAGACAACGACGATGATGATGATAATGATGACGATGATGATAAGATCAAAGAGTGTATACCGTATAAATACATCGTTTCCTCGTCTTCACCCAGGGGATTTGAAGCCTCACAGGTGTAAGCACCAAAGTCTGAATCCTGAATGTTGAAAACTCGGAGACTGAGTGTCAGTTTATCCTTGTCCTCGTCGTACACCTCCACCCTGAAACACGTTTCAACAAATGTTATTTAACAAATTTATGATTTTCAAAACAATCTTTCATCGTAGTGAATTTAACTCGTACGATCAGAGGAAAGGCAAGACAGACAAATAACCAGATTCTGACCGATACCATCAGTACTGAAACTCTGGGCTGACTGCTGAAGATGAGGACGAAGCAAGCGTGGGAATTCCTCGAGTGCTGTGATGTCAATTTTTGACTCAACTCTACTCAACTCGTACGGACATAAATAATGCATTGCACAATTTACTGACAGGCATATTTCGTTATATCTCGTCGGTGGCGTTACTTCAGTGTTACATAACGTGTAATGAAGGACAAAAACTGAATAAACCCACTGAAATACAAATGGTTTCTCGCAACAAATTGTCCGTCTGATCGCCGAAAGTTCACCAGAGTCACAAACTTACCAGGATAACTTCAATTTCTCACTAATTTCGTCTGTTTAGCAAAGCAAACATTATCAAGAACTGAGACATACAGACACAACGGTGTGATTATTGTAGACTGCACAACATGGTATGTATTAGTAGGAATTGTGGTTCACCGTAGCGAAAGGGTTAAACCGTTTGGCCTCGTGCTCAGAAGATCTTGGGTTCGTTTCGCTGAGGCGTCGTTCAGTTCACAAGTGCACTTGTTACCATCTTCCATATATTGTCGCTAGAGCTGCGGAGTTCGTGCCTAGTGTGGCGCTTTCTGCAGAGAGCGACCCTGTTTTGATGACACAGATCATGCCATATGGATAACCCGGGACAATAAAGTAGATCGAGTGTAACTCCGTATGGTCTTTCAAATGGTCACAGCGTGGGTAAAGGCATAACTGCATTCTAGAATTATCTCTTGCCCTTTCTCCTGTCGAATTTTTAATTGGACAGATACATTTCCGGTGCGACTTTCAGAAAAGAAGTAACAATTTTCCATACCAAAACCCTGGACGAAAACCGTGTACAACCAATGCAGGGGAAGGTCGGGAGTCTGGGGATTAAGGGCCGCATTCCTGAAGTAGTGGACAAGAACTGTCCAGGCTAGGAGTTTAGAGCTTCTTTTTCCTAAGATTATGACTCTTGAATTTTAAAATAGAAGAACACGTCCATAATAATGTATAAGAAATTTTTGCACGAGTTCATCTGAATTATTTAATATTAAGAGTGAAACATACGTGGAGTTTATGGCGACAGTTGTAGAATAGTGAAAATGAAAATCACCTGTACTTAAGTGTGGAAGTGAGGATTCTATGGTCTCCTTTCTTCCACATGGTCACCGCATGGGGGAAGGCAGTAACCGTGCATTCTAGAATTGTCTCTTTTCCTTTCTCCTGTCCGATTCTTTTATTGGGCAGATAAATCTCGGGTGCAACTGTCAGAAAGGAGAAAGTATACAATCTAAAATTACCCAAGAATGGTCATTTTATTAATTGGCAATTACCACAATGTTTTCCACGTCATTCAGTAAGTCAGAATTTTTTTTATAAAACAAAACAAGTGAGATTATAACAGTTGACAGGAGCCTCGCTAGCTTAAAGATGATGGTTAATTTAAATTATGATCTTTTTGGATACGTAAAACATGCAGCAGAATCCTGTTGGATACTTACCTGGATTATGTGGTTTATGTCTGGATATGTTATATGGTAAATGAAAGTTGTTAAATACTGTTGAATGTTCAATAAAGAATCGACATTTCAGTACTCGGGACACTTCCATAAACGCTCCGTCCCCATCTTTAGCAGCAAGCGAAGAGTTCACAGTTCCCATGGCACCAGTAACTTTCTGATTGTATTTCCGTCTCGCCTTTCCCTTGAGAGTTGAGATTACATGGTAACTAAGCCCACTGACAAGTTCTAAGAATATCTTGGGTAAAGAAAAGAACAAATGCATCCATACTTCAAGAGCTGAATATTGAAAAGGGTTGGCTAGTAAAGACAATAAAACAAAGAAAATTGAAATATTTTGGTCACTTGAAACGTCATGGAAGTCTAGAGAGAACAATAATGGAGGGGTATATGCCTGGGAAGAGAGGAAGAGGAAGGCCAAGGAGAAGATGGGTGCAGGATGTGGCAGATGATCTCCAGATGGGTGTATCAGACGCAGGACATCTTGCTCATGATAGGAAGGTTTTCGGAGGGTTTTTATGGCAGCGAGGTTCCGCGAGGGACATGCTACTGAATGAATGAAGCCCACTGACCAATCTGTTGTACACAGCGTGATAGCCATTCATTCTGTTGGTAACTGAGCTATCTGATAACTTTCTTGTAATTAGGCCCACGCACCCTCTCTTTTGTACCAAAGCCAGGTGACCATTACATTACATTATATTATATTATATTATATTATATTATATTATATTATATTATATTATATTATATTATATTATATTATATTATATTATATTATATTATATTATATTATATTATATTATATTATATTATATTATATTATATTATATTATATTATATTATATTATATTTTTTTATATTGTAATTAAGCCAGCTGACCACTTTGCTGTAAGCCCACTTACCACTCTGACATTTCCCATATGGCTCGGTCTCTCTCTCTCTCTCTCTCTCTCTCTTTCTCTCTCTCTCTCTCTCTCTCTCTCTCTCTCTCTCTCTCTCTCTTTTTGTGTGTGTGTATATATATATATATATATATATATATATATATATATATATATTTATTTATATATAAAATATCCTCTTTGCATCTCTCTGAGCATAACGGCTAGCCGTTAACCAGGAACTTCACACACACAGCGAAGTTCGTAGCTCAGGCGACGATCCACATGTTTTCTATTAAAGTTGCACACGTAAAGCGAACACTGCAGCAGTAAAACAAATCCACGACTGCGCCTCGGAGACTTTCAACTAACAACTATAAATGAATACACTTACCCTCTGCTGTATAGTTACTACTCTTACGTAACTGAACCCAGTTGTAACTAAACCCACTAACTACTGTTGTCAAAACTCATGTACCATTCTACTGTAACTAAGCCCGCCAACCACTGTTCTCTAAGTCCAGTCACAACTCTACTGTTGCTAAACCCAATAACCACTGTTCTCTAAGCCCAGTCACCACACTACTGTAACTAAACCCGCTAACAACTGCATATTCCTTGTATGAACATACAGGTGCAAGTCGTGGACTGTCTCGCAGTCCTTATGGAATAAAATGTGTTCTTTTAATCTGAAATGCTTAGGACAGATTCTCAGAATTACCGATATGCTGATCGATCTGAATATCAAGAATGATTGGTTAGCTAGCAGCATCCTGTCTTGAAAACTCAAATACTTTAGCCATATCAAACACCACGGCGCACAGGGTCGACTAGCATGGAAATGGGTACAAGATATAAACGACATCTTGGCTGGCAAAGTGCACGAGGCGTAAAGCTTGCGAAAGACCGAATTTCTTTCAGGCAGACCGTGATGAGAGCGACGTTCTGCAATGGGTCTGCTAACTGATGATGATATTTGCATTGGTATACAAGTAAACGAAAACTCAAGTGAAGTGGTTACTTACATTCCACGAAGACTTCAATGACTCTTGTAACAGCTGGGGGCACTCCATTAAAGGCAACACACTCGTAACGATCTCCGCAATGACGTGTTACGTTATGAATAATCAACACTTCCCCGCTGACTCCAACTTCTGTAGATGATAGAGGTTGAAAACTACGGGCTTCTCACGTGTCATCGATCATTAATAGAAACTATATGTTACTGTCGGGAGTTATCGTGGTATGGCGGCTAGACGCTTGCCTGCGTCATGGTGGACTGGAGAGAAGGGTGACGGAAAGTACACTTTCCGGAAAACATAGCAGAGGCAGACCTCCACGAACGTGTATAACAGACATTGAAGATACACAGGCAATGGAGACACAAAAGGCTGCACAAATTAGATAGAGAAAGAGACTTTCATGCTAGGATGAGAGCGACGTTCTGTATAGTACCTGCTGATTGTTGATGATAAGGAGAATGATAAAAAGCATTAGGAATGTGTTACTTCCAACTGTTCTAATGAGTGGGTATCAGTAAATAATATTCTGAGTGACTACAGTATGTGCAACTAAATTATTATTTTGTCTGTTCTAATTTGAATCATGAAAAGTGTTAATTACAACTTAGTTCAATAGGCAATTAGTTAATCAGTTCCTCAGTTAGAGTAATTTGGCATGTTAGCTAGTTAGATAGTCCACAAAATTTTAGGGGGAACAAGGTCTGGAATGTCAGAGGTGTGTTGAACTGTGGTTTGTGGTGATGAGGAAGGCATGAAGAGGAAATCATTGTCATCTCCAGAAGAAAGAAGGTTGTGATCAGAAATGACGACCAACGCCCACACGGTATTGACTATACGGGAAAGGTTTATGACCATGTCGTCGACGGTGGCTTAGGCGTTGCGAATGCGCTTCATATTTCCGAAATGCCTGCTTCGATCCCAGCAGTAGACGACTTGGCAGCAAACCGCCCTGGTTTGGCTTTGACAGTGGTATCAAGAATTGACCGTTAGTAATCAATGGCAAACTGTTGTTTGTCCATCACGACTGATGACCACTTTTCATCCAAAGTAGCAATGATCCATGATTATGAGTACGGAGGTGGCTGATTAGTCCAATGTGAGCCTGGAAAGTTCTTGAGCAGTGCGGGCAACAGATGGAAGCCACAGTGAGTGTAGGATTAGCAGTACGGTTTTTTCTAATCTGCCTCTGTTTCTCTACCTGTGCAACCTCTGTTGCCTGGGAGGATAATGCACCATGCCTGAGGGATGTACGCCAACCATACCGGTATTGTGCAGCAGCAACCCCCCCCCCCCCCCTGCTCCCCTTACGTCGCTTTGTTGATGCTAACAGAATTGAGAAAAGTTTTGAAAGTGTCTTCATAGCGCTCTTTCTGTCCTCCCTGGGACTCTTCTCTAGCTGGAGCTCCCCATAAAATACTCTCTTTGGGAGGCGATAGTCTGGTATGCGGGCTAGGTGACCAGCTCAACGCAGCTGATAATTCTTCAGTATCGTGTTGATGCTAGAAAGGTTTGCCCTATCAAGAACCATAGTATTTGGGATCTTATCTTGGTATGTGATTTTAAGCATCTTTTCAATGGCAAACTACTGAAAGAAAGATTGCCTAGTGAAATTCCAAACAGCTAAAATAAGCTGGGGTTGGTTCTGTAACGTCCTGTAAAGCATTCGCAACATATACACTTGTGGACGTTTCAAATGTCTTGAATATGAAATTAACGTGATCAAAATAGAAGTGGTTGTAAACATTATACACGTAGATATCGCTTGACACTTAGCGAGTGTTTTAATATTTTGGAAAAAAAAATCAAATTAAAACATCTTTAAATATTATACTTGTGTTTATCAATTAGTACTCATTGAATAATGATAGGGTGGTGAACTTGAAACTAAGAGCAAAGTTATAGAGATATAAACATAGTGATCTGAGCATAAATATGAAAGAAGAAGACGTTGCAGGTGTTGATTAGGAAAAGAAATGATAAAAACGACACAAGTAAACAACATCAATGACACTGTCCCTGGTAGTGAAAAGATCACAGACAAAGGAAAACCACAGACACACCTAAACTGTTTTGATCATATGAGTACTTGACTGTCTTTTAAGATATACTCCACTGACAAACGTTGTAAATAACTTAAAGACTTAAAATAAAAACCTCAAATATGTAATAGAAATAAGAATAATTATGCCATATCAATATTGTTGTTTAGGCTGATTATCAAGCATGTGGCAACCGGTGCAGGCAAACACTGTGACGTCATAGTGACAGTTTAATGATGGCCGCCTTACTTCTGACATTCACCAAAGAGAGAAGCTTTCTGTGATTAGGCGCTTTGCATGGTGGCCCACGCTTACAGCACGCCGAGCCGAAAACCCGTGCAAGGGAAGACGCACACGATGTTTGAAGCTGCAGACATGAACTAGGCAAAGCCGAAGGTTGGCTCGTGGTCAGTTGCTACCAGATGTCGGGGAAGACAGTTGTCGTATTTGAAGATGTAGTTTGAATGAAATCTATTTAACGTCAAGTGAATGACTCTAGTGGTTAAAATCCAACCATCCCCTTGTTAGGTGCAATTTTTCGTTATTTTGGAGCCCCACCCTTGCTCTTGCCAGAGGCCGCAATATAGGTTTTAGGTTGTTGCGTATCCTCTAGAGGACGTTGCAGAACCAACCCTAACAGCCCCTGGCTGTTGTGTGGTTTCTCTAGGCAAATTTACGTCCAGTAGTTTGCCATTGCTTTCTGGACGGTCGGCTTTCTTGATACCACTGTCGAAACCAACGCAAGGCGCATTGCCCGCAGCTGGGATCGAACCTGGCATCCCGGCATTACGAAGCGAAGTGTTCGCATCGACTTAGCCACAGAGCCGACGCCGCAATATAGCCCGACCATAAATATGGTCTAATGGCTGAACGCTGTTTTTGGGACCTCTCCACGGGTGATCCTCATCCACATAGTGGCACTTTGTGTCATCGGCTGTTTATCGCTTCTGTGATGTCCTAGTGGGGTAAAAATCTACTACTACTACTTTTGTGGTAGTAGTGTGAAAGAATCTGAGTGAATACAACTGACAGAATGTGTACCGGAAATTGAGCGCTGTTCTGCGTCATTCGTGATAAAAAATTGAGTTTGTTTCCAGCGAGCCAAAAGTAATACAAGCTTTATTACACTTTCTGACATGCGTTTTTAATCACCAGTAAAGGAGTTAAACCTACAGAAATTCATCGAAGGATGAAGGTCCAGTAAGGTGGATGTATGCCTGCCAGCACAGCCCGTTTCTGAATGGAATAGGAAGTTTCAACAAGGCTGCTCACGATCCGGTTAAGTACACCGAGTAGTGAGTGACCCCAGAGTCGACTGCATAAATGCGTAGTTATGTCTTTTACCAGAGTAGTAAAGGACCCTTTTCCACGCCTTTAGGCGTATAGGGCCTACAAGGCTAGACCTATATTTTATAGACCAATCGGCTCAAGATGGTTGATATGGTCGGCATCACGCCGGCCGCCTCTACTTTCCGAGACTGCACCTGACACCCACTCAAGGCTGGGTGGATCTGGGAGCCAAGGTCATTTTTGAAAAAATTTCGGCTCCGCCAGGGAGCGAACCCACGACCTTCCGATTCGCGGCGAGCGTCTAGCCGCTCCTCCACTGCGACTCCCTTTTACCAGAGTGGTCTGCCCATTATTTGCAGATAAACACGAATTCTTTTTTGATACATAGAATTTCGATTATCTCGTATGTTGTATGATGTCAGTCGATACATGCATGTTCATAAACCAAATAACACAGACATAGACACAGGCACACAACATAGCAGCGCTTGCACAACACAGCGCCGAAGACTGCAGCAACAACGCGTCACTGAATCTTACTATGGGTGCCAGGGCAGAACTCACTGTGTTTCTGAATGCCCTTAGAGTCGGTGACCAACCGATACCAGCTGACCGTTGGTTGCGGGGTGCCGGTGACGTTACACACCATGGTCACGGTCTCTCCTTCCTTGACCGTGACGTCACTTGTGGACAAGTGGTCGATAATCTTTGCTGGAACTGCAACAGAAAAAAGAGGAAGGTAACAGGTGTATTCACATAAACACAAGCCCTCACATGAGCTCTCTCTTTCTCTCTCATTCTGTGTGTGCATATGTGTGTGTGTGGCTCTCCTTCTCTCTCTTTCTCTCTCCTCACACACACACACACACACACACACACATATATATATATATATATATATATATATATATATATATATATATCCATATATATATATATATATATATATATATATATATATAAACAATCTTTTCTGTACTCTCTGTGGCTAAGTCGATGCGAACGCTTCGTAATGCCGGGATGCCTGGTTCGATCCCAGCTGCGGGCCATGCGCCTTGCGTTGGTTTCGACAGTGGTATCAAGAAAGCCGACCGTCCAGTAGCAATGGCAAACTACTGGACGTAAATTCACCTAGAAAAAAACCACACAACAGCCATGAGCTGTTAAGGTTGGTTCTGCAACGTCCGGCAAAGGTAAGCAACTAACTTAACAATCTACTGGAATACCTTGCAGCGTAAGGGTGCGAAGAGGTATCTGAAGCTGGCTCTTCTGTTTGCTTCTTTTATAATAAATATCATTGCCTCTGCTACTCCTGTATCTGTATAATGTTAACTTTCTGTGATGCCCCATCTTTTGCCAATCTTATTACATCGCCAAAGACGTTGATCTGTTTGTCTATCGATATAATTCAGTATTTGTTGTATGTCAACTCTCCTTCTGAAATTATCGTTTTCTAAGTGGATCTTTCCTCTCTTCTGAAGTCAGTTTCTTTGTTTGTCACTTATAGCACAGTGTTGTTAAGAATATCGTGTTTACCAGTGCTCTTTAAGTGTTCATTTTCATGTGCTTGCATTTCAAAATTAGTGTAATTTCTCCTATAATTTGACTGACTTTATTGCATTATTGTTATATTTCCTTACTCATTGTTCTATTTTCTGTGGAAACAGTGTTCCCTAAATGTGTAAAGTCCTTCGTCTACTTGAACTGATATTTATTGAATTTGATGTTGGTGTCTCTTCTTTTTCTGGAAGATGTTATCAGTTAAATTGTGTCTACGTTGGTCTTCATGTCACAAACATAAACACATAAATAAAAGGGTTGTGTTCTTAGTACGCTTGTTTTCATTGCCATTTTGAGGTGACAAGTTAGATTCCCGGCACAGTAACTAAAGCTTTCGAGTTTTATGTTGTCTAGTGTGTCCCTCTATCTTTCTACTTCTTTCTATGAGTGTCAAAAAACACAGTGTAGTAGAACATTTTACCCAACCGGGACATCACACAAGCGATAAACACCCAATGACACAAAGTGCTACCATGCGGATGAGGATCACCGTGGAAAGGTCCCAGAAACCGCGTTCAGCCATTAGATCATATTTATAGCTTGGATATATTGCGGCCCCTGGCAAGAGCCAGGGTTTGGCTTTAAAAAAAAACAACCGAAAAATTGCATCCCACAAGGGAGTGATTAATTATTAGTTTTTACATCACATTGTCTCCTTTTTAATTTTTATATATAGCTCTGTTTATTGGTGTGAATGATGTGTAACATAATGGAACCTACCAATCAAATATCTTTCTTGAATGTTTGTGTATTCTAGATAAAGCATTATGGTTCGCTGGTAAATTTTGTTGCTGTGCTTGTTATTATTCCAAATATGCTTTGGCAATGTAAATTTATGTAATCTGTGGCGCCATTTAAATGGTTTGAGGCGAATTCTGTCCGTATTCCATAGTTGTGGATTTCAAGCTGTACGAAAGACATGCCAATGAAGGCATCTTTTCTTACGGCTGCCAAGTTGGTTGTGTTCTTAGTACGCTTGTTTCCATAACGAGGCGCACGAGCCATTTTGAGGAGACAGGTTCGATTTCCGGTACGGCAACTATTTTTATGTTGTTTTGTTTGTCCTTCTATCTTTCTACTTCTTTCTGTGAGTGCAGATCAACACATTGTCTCTTCAATAATTATATATATATATATATATATATATATATATATATATATATATATATATATATATATATATATATATATATATATATCTCAGTGCCAAGAGCCTCGTACAAAGTACGAACTCTGTAGCTGCAAAGATCTCTGGAGTAACTGCACCTGCGAACCGAATAAGGCAAAGTAAAAACATCAGGACCTGCAGAACCAGAGACGAGTGTTTTGGCCTCTTTGCATTTTGCCACGTAGACTTGAGAATACATTGATCGATCAAACAGTTAAAAATATTATAGACATAGCGAAAAGGTTAGACCAGGAAACCCATGGATAGATTAAAAAAGATAACTTCAAAGAATACACAACCAACATGCGTACTACCCCACCATATAAAATATTTATGAACTTGGGTAGCTCTCGTCCTCTCCACGACACAGTAAGTGTTGATTAGACAAAGCCATACACCTGGGGCACGGCAGCAGATCGTGGCAGCTTCTTTTTTTTTTTTAAATAGAAGCGTAGAATGAGTAGAAAGGCGAAATAAAAGCAGAATTTT